ACCGGTTGCGATGCTCGAGCAGCCGGAGGATTCAAAAACTGAAAGCGCGCCTCGTTTTGGTGGCGAAAGATGCGCCATGGGGCCTTGCCGGAGGACGAGGCTGCGGCCGTGAGACGCATCCTGCGGAGCGACCTCGAGCTCTGGGGGAGGTGGGAGAGACGGCTCAGAGGGGGGTTGGTATAGCGTGCTGGTGAAAAGACCCACGCGTATGATATCCGCAGCGGCGTGTAGCTGTAGGGCGTTCCATGGCGCTGCTGCCGGTGTGGGCGCGGCCATCAAGCAAACGACGCGGCGCGACACGCCACCGGCGCGCGAAGTAGACGAGGAGCGGCATCGAGCCGTGTCTCTCTCACGCACTCTCTTGCGCGCAAAAAGCGTTGTGAGGTGACTAATCGAAACTTAGTGTGCCCGTGCTTGTTTCTTTTTTGGCAAGGCCCGAGAGGCCGGTGCAGGCAGCGCGCCGCCGCCTTCCTCCTCACACCGCCGAGCCTCCACTCGCAGCTTTCGCGCGCCCGCATCCCCTTGCCTCCCCGGCAGCCTCCTGCCTGCGCGACGCTGACAGCGCTGCTTCTCGCGCGTCGCGCCCAGAGACCACCGCGCTGGCTGGCGTTACCCGCCGCTGCACAGAATCTCAAGACAGGCTTTTGCACCGCAGGCCGGCGGCGGCGCAGGAATGGCGGGCACGTCCGATCTGGACCGCCAGATCGAGCAGCTGCGCCGCTGCGAGTACATCAAGGAGGCGGAGGTCAAAGCGCTCTGCGCAAAGGCTCGAGAGATCCTCGTCGAGGAGTCCAACGTGCAGAGGGTGGACGCGCCAGTCACGGTGCGCGCCGTAGCGCGAGAGCGGCTGGCTGCGGAGCAGGAGCGTGGGGGGCGCGGCCGCGCAGAGATGGCCGTAAAAAGGCCGGTGCGTGTGAGTCCGCTCGCGCGCAGCAGCTTCGCGGTTTGTGGCTTGCGGCTCTTGCAAGGGAGGGACGCACGCGCTCCCCACTGCAGCCTGCGCTGCGCGCGCGCAGCGGCGGCAGCTGCAGCTGCGGCACGTGCCGCCGCGCGGAGAGTCGAGACATGGCTCCCGATCTCCCAGCCCACCTCGCTCTCTTCTCCCTCTACCAAGCCTGTGCCACGCCCTCCTGCGGCTGCAGATCTGCGGCGACATCCACGGCCAGTTCTACGATCTGAAGGAGCTCTTCAAGGTGGGCGGCGACGTGCCTGACGCCAACTACCTCTTCATGGGCGACTTTGTCGACCGCGGCTTCTACTCGGTCGAGACCTTCCTGCTGCTGCTTGCGCTCAAGGCTCGCCGCGCCCGCGCCGCTTCCGAGACGCTTCCGAGACGCTTCCTCGACACTGCAGGGAGGAGCGCCGCGTCTGGAGCGGGAGGGCCCGAGGGGCTTGGCGGCCGCGCGGGCGGTCCCGGAGCGCTCGCGAGCGACAGCGCCGCTCGAACGCTTGGCACACTTCTTCGCGCGCCCACCTACACCGCCGCCGCCCAGACACCCAGACACGCGCAAGGACGCGTGCAAGGACGCGTGCAAGACACGGCGAGACACGTCCAGCGCGGGAGCCAGTGCTGGCGGAGTGTGGCGGGTCGGGCCCAGCACGCGCGTCTTGCGTCGCAGGTGCGGTATCCGGACCGCATCACGTTGATCCGAGGCAACCACGAGTCGAGGCAGATCACGCAGGTGTACGGCTTTTATGATGAGTGCTTGCGCAAGTACGGCTCGGTCAACGTCTGGCGGTACTGCACGGAGATCTTCGACTACCTGTCGCTCTCGTCGCTGATCGAGGACAAGATCTTCTGCGTGCACGGCGGCCTCTCCCCCTCCATCAACACCCTCGACCAGATCCGCGTCATCGACCGGAAGCAGGCAGAGGGACACCAAGACACCTCCAAGACACCTCCAAGACACCTCCAAGACACCTCCGGGACACCCTCAAGACACCTCCCCGAGAGCGTCCCTCGAGTCACCAAGACCATATGCCGACACACCCCAACCTCCGCCCTTGCTACCGCCCTCTACGCCGCCCTCGCCACTGCCCTCCCCGCCACCCTCCCCACTGCCCTCACCTCCACGCCGCCATATCTCCCCATATCTCCCCACGAGCAGGAGGTCCCTCACGACGGCGCGATGTGCGACCTGATGTGGTCCGACCCGGAGGACATCGACGGCTGGGGCTTGTCTCCGCGAGGCGCGACGCCTACCTCTCCGGCGGCGCCTGTCCAGGACACGTCCAGGACACGTGCAGGACACGGCCCCATATAGGCGCGGGCTACCTCTTTGGCGGCGACGTGGTCGCCCAGTTCAGCTCGACCAACTCGATCGACCTGATCGCGCGCGCGCACCAGTTGGTGAGAGAGGGGCACACACACACACGCTCGACGGCACGCTCTCTCGGGCTGCACCTCGGCTGCACGTCGGCTACAGGTGATGGAGGGGTACAAGCACATGTTCAACGACACGCTGGTGACCGTCTGGTCGGCGCCAAACTACTGCTACCGCTGCGGCAACGTCGCCGCCATCCTCGAGCTGGACGAGCACCTCAACAAGAACTTCAAAATCTTCGAGGCGGCGCCGCAGGACCAGCGCGGCGTCCCCGCGAAGAAGCCGGCGCCAGACTACTTTCTGTGATCCCAGCGAGGGGAGAGGGGGTCCGGCCCCCCCTCCCACCTTCCTGGGTCCCGCGTGTCGAGTAGTGCATGGCGGCGGCGGCGGCGGGCGCCCGTGTGGAGAGCATTGTGTGAGACTCACTGGGACTGGGGGCGCAGTCCGCCGCCCGCCCCGCCCGTCTCCGTGACTGCATCCCCCGACGCCCGATTTCGCGCCCATTATTGTACGTTGAACGCGTTATTGCGCGCAGGCATGAGAGAAACCGACGTCCGGCTCGCGCGCGGCGCACTGAAAGAAAGAAAACAGCACGGCTCGCGAACGAAGGGGAGCACGCGCGCTTGGAGTTGTTCGACCGATGGCCTCCCACCGCATCGGCGCCCGCCTCTCGGGCCTCAATTCTGAGCAGCTGCTCCTAATCATCAAGGAGCAGGGTCCCTCACGCTCGCAGCTGTGCGCCATCATCGAGGCGCAGGCGGGCGCGAGCGCCGCCGCGCTGCGCGTGGCGGAGGAGCACGCCGCACGGCTCGTGGAGCAGCCCGAGTGGGTCCTCTCCGAGGTCCTCCTCTCGCCGGACCTCGCCCCGCACATCCTCGCCCAGCTGCCGACCAAGGCGCACGCCGCCAAGGGGACGTGCCACGCGTGGCGCCGCGGCTGGAAGGAGACGCTGAAGAAGCGCGAGAGGCTGCGCCTGCTCGTGATCGGCGGCGAAGACATCGATGGCGAGTTTGTCAACTCGACTGAGCGGTACGACCCGTCCACGAATGAGTGGGAGGGGGAGGCTGTGGCGTCAATACCTTCGGCACGAAAGTATGCCGGCATGGCGGTGCTCGATGGCAAGCTCTACGCGGTGGGCGTCGAGAGTGAGGCTGACGGCGCAAATTCCAACCTGGTGGAGCGGTACGACCTGGCGACGAACGCGTGGGAGGAGGCGGCGCCGATGGTGACACCACGCGAGACCCACGCCGTGGCGGTGCTGGACGGCAATCTGTACGCTGTGGGCGGCGTCAACGAAGACGACGACGACGGCTTCCTCAGCTCGGTCGAGCGGTACGATCCGGCTGCCAATTCGTGGGAGGCGGTGGCGCCGATGACGGCGGCGCGAGAGGCTCTCGGTGTGGCGGTGCTCGACGGCGAGCTATACGCTGTGGGAGGCTACAACGACGACGAGTACCTCAGCTCGGTCGAGCGGTACGACCCGGCGACGAATGCGTGGGAGGCGGTGGCGCCGATGGCGGTCGAGCGGGTTGCTCCCGCCGCGGCGGTGCTAGACGGCAAGCTGTACGCTGTTGGAGGCTACGGCGCCGGCGCCCTCAGCTCGGTCGAGCGGTATGATCCCGCCACGAACGCGTGGGAGGCGGTGGCGCCGATGGCGACGGCTCGGAGTCATCTCGCTGTGGCAGTGCTCGACGACAAGCTGTACGCTGTGGGCGGACAGGATCATGCCTACAACGCCCTCAGCTCGGTGGAGCGGTACGACCCGGCCGAGAATGCGTGGGAGGCTGTGGCGCCGCTGGCGGTGGCGCGGGCCTCTCCCGGATCTGTTTTGATGTAGCCTGTTCCACACAAAAGCACAAACCGACATTGTACGTGAGCACAGCGACTGACTCTTAACCGCAATCTGACCCTACAACCAACAGTCGACAAATCCGGCGCTCGTCCACGCAGCCTCTCGCCGCTGCCTCGCTGTGAGCGGCCCCACCATGTGGCCATCGGACGCTCCGTTCCAGGACGGCGACGAGGTGCAGCTGACCAACCTCTCCAAGGCCCACCTCAACGGCGCACGCGGCGTCGCCGTCGGCTACGATGCAGAGCGCGGTCGCATCTCTGTGCGGCTCGTCGATGGCGGGCCGCCTCTCGCGGTCCGGCCAGCCAACCTGGTCAAGGCGGCGCCGCTGGCCGCCGAGGAGGAGGGCGGAGCGACGGACGACGAAGCGGAGCATGCGGCGTGGCTCGCAGCGCTTCCGCAGATGACGGCGACGCAGCTCGGTGCACAGAGAGAGCGAGCGAGTCCCGGAGCCGGGCTCTGAGGGAGGGCGAGGAGGACACTCGACCTCGCTCCCCGCGCAGGCGCCGAGCTGCTCGAGGCCGCGCGGTACGGCGAGGAGCGCGAGGTCGGCGAGCTGCTCGCAGCAAAGGCGGACGTGAACCACCTCGACGGTGGAGGCAGCGCCGCTCCGCACCCTCCACCCCTATCCCGAACCCGAACCCGCGCCCGAGCCGTACCTATCACCAACCCTAGGCAACACCGCGCTGCACCGCGCCTGCGCCAACGGGCACGTCGCCGTGGTGCAGCAACTGGCGGCGGCGGGCGCTGCGCTGCTCGCCAACGAGTCTGGCAACTCGCCGCTCCACTGGGCGGTCCAGCACGCCTCGGCGCCGCTGGTGGCGGCGGTGCTGCAGGCGGGTCCCTGGCCCCTGGCCCCTAGCCCTAACTGCAGCCTTAGAACAAACTCACCCCGGTGGCGGCTGCAGGCGTTCCCTGGCGCCGACGTCCTCGCCCGCAACGCGTTTGGAAAGTCGGTCTCAACAGAGGCGTTCGCTCGCAACGTGCCCGAGATCGTCGACGCGGCGCGCCTCGCCTCTGCGCCTCTCCGGGACCAGAGGAGCCCTTCTCTGCACCTTCTCCGACCCTTCCGGTAGGTGCTCGACGCGCCGCCTCCCTGCAGGAGCCTTGCCTGACACCCTTCTCGCAGCCGCCTTTTGAGCCTCCCTGCAGGTGCTTGCACATGACTCTGCGGCGGCGCTCGACCCCGAGGCGAACGCCGCGACGCCGGACGCGCTGACTAGCGAGCTCCCCCCCCCTTCCTTCCTCCTGCTCCTCTCGTTCCCATCGTCATCGCGTGTTCTCACTGTGTGCTAGGCGAGCTCACTCACTCCTTCCTCCTGCCCGCCTGCGGCAGCGGCGACCCGATGGCGCGGACGGCTGCAAGCGCCGCCCTCCCCTCCGCCGGCGTCTCTTCACACCTCCGGCCGTGAAGCAGGTCCGGCTGCGCTGCCGCGAGCTCTCCTCCATCGGCGGCGACGACCCGTCGGCTGTGATTGGCGCGACGCCAAACGACGACCGCACCGGGCTGCAGATCTGGCGAGAGGGAGCCGAGAGGGAGCCGAGAGATAGCCGAGAGATAGCCGAGCGGGCTGCTGCTCGCCATTGCTGTTCCCGCGGGTATTGCTTCTTCACGCCGTGACTCTTCCTCACACCGCCCGCCCCGCAGGTCCGCCTCGCTGCTGCTGGCTCGCTGGGTCTGCGAGCTGCGACCACGCCTGCGGGGCAGGCGAGTACTCGAGCTCGGCTATCCCCACATCTCCCCCTATCTCCCCATATCTCCCCATATCTCCCCCTATCTCCTGCGGGACAGGCGAGTACTCGAGCTCGGTGCGGGCTGTGGACTGCCCGGCCTCGCCGCCGCCGCCGCCGGCGCCGCCGCGACGGCCATCAGCGACCAGCTTCTCCCTCCTGATGAATGATGGGTGGGGTTCTCACCCATCAGGCGCCGCCACGACGACCATCACCGACCTCGCCGACCACACCATGCGCAACATCGAGCACAACATCGACCTCAACCGCAGCGGCGGCACCGGCGCAACGCGGGGCGAGGGAGCGGCGGACGCCACAGCGGTGGCGGGGGGAGCTGCGGCGGCGGCGGCGGCGGCGGCGGCGGCCGGGGCGGGTGGGTCGGTGGGGGGGGAGGAGGATCGGGAGGCGGGTGGGGCGGCTGGGGGGCGCATGACCGCAGCGGTGGTGGACTGGGGGGACGCTGCGACCTGGCCGAGCGGTGCAGACATCGTCCTCGGGTCAGACCTCGTCTACGCGCGGGAGGCGGTGCCGCAGCTGCTCGCGCTGCTGCCTGCGCTGCTGCCGGAGGGGGGGGGAGGCGCCTTTTACTACGTCGCGCCGGAGACGGACCGGCTGGGAGAGGTGGAGTTCTTGGACGGCCTAGTCGGCCTGGGCTGGTACCGCACGGAGGAGGCCGTGCCCCATCGCTTCATGGACAACGTCCTCGACGGTGCACACCTCGCCCTCGCACCGCGTCCTCCTCTCCTGCACTTGCCCCCAGCGCACCGCCTCGGGCCTCGACCCCCCCCCACCCGCCCTCGCCCCTCCTCTCCCCCTCCTCTCCACCCCTGCCCCTCTGACCCCTCCCGAACCCAGCGCCCCGCAGAGCCGCTTCGTGAACAGCCGCATACCTTGAACAGCCGCACGCTGTGAACAGGCGTCGCCAACGAGGACTTCCGCAACCTCTTCCCCGAGTTAGCCACTCGCACCTACACCCTCTACACCTTCACCCGCCACCCGCCGCCCACGCAGAGCGCGCCCTCGCTCGCCGCCGCCGTCCCGCTCCCCGGCTTCGCCATCGCCGCCGCCGCCGCCGTCCGCCAGCCGGACCACGACTAGCGTCTGTGCGCACGGCTCGGGCTCTGGCCGTGCCGCCCGCGCTCGCGCGCGCGAATCTCTCTTGGACCGACGCGTGACCGGCCGCCGGTGCTCGGTGTCCCCGTCGGTGTCGCTCTCGGCATGCGCATGGGGAAGTATAAGAAAGCGGGAGCGCGCATCAGAGCGGCCGTGTCAGAGCCAAGGAAGTGAGAGACACGGCTAGAGACCGCGCGCAGTGACGCTCCCCGCTGTGGGCAACAGCCTCTTAAACAGAAGAGCGCGGGGAGAGCGCGCACCCGCACGCCTCGACGCTCGACCTGCGCTCTCGAGCCTCGACGCGCTCGAGGAGCGCGCGTGGAGCGGCTGGAAGTCGAAGAGGGGCGGTGTGTAAATTGGGACGTCTGTACGTACGAAATTAGCCAGCACTAGCAGTACGGCGCACAGCGGGCCCGCTCGCTCCGCTCAGACTCACGCATGGCTAGCCTCATCTGCTCACGGGCACAGCCGGCGGCAGCTGCGGCATCCCTCCATCAGCGCCGCTTTCGCCCGGGTAGTCAATGATGAGTATGGTGAGCGAGCAGCTCGGACAGCGGGCAATGCGCTCCCCGCCGGCAAGCTGCGCCTGTGAGCAAGAGGGCAGGAGGTTAGCCCGCCGCGATGAGAGCGGCGACGCGCAGCGACGAGAGCGCGCCGGAGAGATCTCAAACATGTCTCCGCAGGGGCACTCGTAGTAGTACATGTCGTCGTCCTCAACGAGCTCGAGCTCGCTGAAGGGCACCTCCTCGTACACCGCCGCGTGCGCCATGGCGCCCACGAGGCGCGGGAGGGACCCCGAGGAGCCGGCGATGCAGTTTTTTCTTTTTTGTGAGATTACCCCCTTCCGGAGGGCCCTCCATCCCCCCCCCCCCCTTCTTCCTTACTATTCAAAGATTAACTTTGCCGATGGAGGGCTCGCTCTACCGCTGTGAAGAAGAAGAAGTCCTTCGACCGCGACTCATGCGACAAACAAAACAACCGCACGGCCTACTCGCCCAAGTACTCGCTCTCTTTTATGTCCCACCATGCAGAGCGCATCTCTCTCTCTGTTGTGCGAGGCGTGAACCGCGCCATTCGCTCTCACCTGGCAACCCTGTCTGCACGTCTCGCGCGCGCGTGAACAGGGCTCGAGTCCGCAACGCCCACGGGGCGAATGCGATTGCCTGGCCCTATCGCCAAGCGGCTCTGCTCCTCCTCTTGTCTGGCAGCAATCGCACGCTGCGGCACAGGCCGCGTTGGCGCCGAGGAGGCGGCAAGCCTCAACGCGCCTACCCGTGGCATACCGCCGGATCGGGCCAAGACTAAGGCTGCAGGCGTCGGCCCCGGCTGCTGCGAGGGCCCTCCCGTTGAGGTGTCCATCTTATTTATGTGCAGTGGGGCTAACACTGTAGCGCGTCGGCAGGATCCCCAAAACCGTCGTAAACCCCCGAAAATTGAAGTCGACCGCCCAAAGCTGTCCCCCCCCCCCCCCCCCCGCAAACTTTAAACCTCCATAAACATCATTGTGCAGGGGCTCCAGGCCCCAAATTACGTGTGTGAGTGTTAGAGTTGTTTGGTATTGCTAAATCTCTCTCTCTCTCTCTCTCTCTCTCTCTCTCTCTCTCTCTCTCTCTCTCTCCACTAGCGAGGCGAATGACATATTCGACACCCTCGACGACCATCTCGGCTACGGTTCCGACTCCGGCTTCGGCTGGTACATGTAGTCGACAAGCTGCCGAGCCCAAATCACTGTGTGTGAGAGAGAGATTATTGAGCAATACCAAACAAATCTAACACTCACGCGTTTGTTTGTTTTTGTTTGCTGTGTGTGCCACATTTCTTGAGAGAGATTTTTAGCAATACCAAACAACTCTAACACTCACACGTCATTTGGGGCCTGGAGCCCTGTTCACGCGCGCGCGAGACGTGCAGACAGGGTTGCCAGGTGAGAGCGAATGGCGCGGTTCACGCCTCGCACAACAGAGAGAGAGATGCGCTCTGCATGGTGGGACATAAAAGAAAGCGAGTACTTGTGTTTGTTTTGTCATTTCTTGTTGGCTTCTAAAAATCTCTCTCCGCTGTGGGGTCTGGATGTACGACGCTTCTCTTGAACCGCCTTACCAGCTGCACAGAGACCCTGCTAGGGTGCGCACAGGACCCGAAAGAAAAATAGTTCACTTCAAAAGAAGAAAACTTGGGCAGAGCGTGTCACTCATTGGAAATGAAGGAAAATTCCTTTGAGGAGCCGTGCGAATCGAGGCGGCTTTGCAGCGCGATTCAAGAGCCTGCGCCGCCGCAGGTGCGCCGCCGCAGGGAACCGAGCTCGCTTTATGTCGACTGCATCTGGGACCCGGGCCCAGAAGGCGTGCGAGTCGCACGAGTTCACCTTCACCGACTGCATGTACACCGTGGGTAAGGGCGAGAAGGCTAAGACGCTCATTGGTGGCATATCCGCCAGCGTCAAGTCGGGCTTTATTTTGTCCATCATGGGCCCCAGCGGTGCGGCACCGCTGCCCGATCCCGCTGCCATATCCCGCTGCCACGCCTCCGGTCAGCCCGCCCGAACGACCGCAGGTGCTGGCAAGACGGTGCTCATGAAGATGCTCACCCTCGAGGCGGGCCCTGGGAAGGCGCACGGCTCGCTCCGTCTTGACGGCCAGCCCTTCACGCCCGCCCTCTACAAAAAGCACTGCGCCTTCGTCGCGCAGCACGACTCGCATGCCGCGTTCCTAACGGCGCGCGAGCACCTTGCCATCTCCACCTCGCTCTACCAGCACCAACTCGGCCCGGCCGAGCGGGCCGCCGCGGTCGACGAGCTGCTCGAGCACATGGGCCTCACATCGTGCCAGCACACGCGCGCCGGCAACGAGCTCGTGCGCGGGCTCTCGGGCGGTCAGAAGCGGCGCCTCTCGCTGGCTGTCGCGCTCTCGAAGAACCCTGCGCTCATCTTCCTCGACGAGCCGACCTCGGGGCTGGACGCTGCCGCCGCCGCCTCAATCATGACTTTCCTCAAGGAGTCCGCCTCGGTCAAGCGCACCGCCATCCTCTGCACCATCCACCAGCCCTCCTACAAGGTCTTCTCGGGCTTCGACGACACGCTCATCCTGGCCTCTGGCCGCCCCGCGTACTACGGCCCGGCAGCGGCGCTCGGCGAGTACTGCGACTCGCTGGGCGAGCCCGTGCCGCCAGGCAACAGCCCGGCGGAGCACATGCTCGAGCTGGTCAACAAGGACTTCCGCAGCCCCGAGGCGGTCGGCCTCGTCCTCGATGCGTTTCGGCCCGCGCCGGCCGGGCCGGCGGCCACGCACGCCTTCTCCCCGCTGCCGAAGACGAATCAGGCGCCCTTCCCGAGGCAGACCTGGTGCTTGCTGCGCAAGCTCTGCAAGCTCACGTACAAGGACCCGACCCTCTACCTCGGGCGGGCGGTCGCGTTTCTCCTCGCCAACAGCTTCTTCGCCGTCGTCTACATCCGCGCGCGCGACGTCAAGCAGGAGCAGATTGTCTCCCGCATGTAATGCCTGCTTCACCGTCGCCATACACACACGTGGAAGGTGTACCCCACACGTAAGCACTCCCCTCTTAGGTTCCTCACCATGTGGCTCGTCGGCGTGCCAGCCGCGCTCGGCGTCGTGAGCACCTTCGCGCTCAACGGCGAGGTGCAAGCCGTGCGGCGCGAGGTGCGCGACGGCATGTACCACCCGGTCGCGTACGTGCTCGCACACACCTCGCTGCAGCTGCCGATGATGGTCTTCCTCGCCATCTCGGCCACCGGAGTGCCCGCCTACGCCATCGCCGACTTCAACGCGTCCAACTTCGTGCAGTTTACGCTCGTTTACGCGCTGATGCTGTGGGCCTTTGAGTGCATCGCCCAGCTCTGCTCGCTGCTCCGCAACCCTCTGCTTGGCATGCTCGGTTTCCTCAACACCTGGTTCGCGTCCTTCCTCTTCTGCGGCATCTTCCTCCGCAAGACGGACGTGATCTGGCCCTTCCGCGCCTTCACCTACCTCCTCCCCCTCGCGTGGGCGTTTCCCTCCCTCAACTACTTTGAGTTCATCGACTATGAGAGCATCGGGGGCGCCGAGGCGTGCTCCAATCTGACCGAGGCCGGCTGCTTTGACGTCCTCGGCGCAAACGGCCCGCCCTTCCGCTGTCCCGACCTCCAGCCGCAGCAGTGCCTCGGGCTCACCGGGCCCCAGGTCCTCGTCTCCCTCGGGGAGACGTACGAAATGATCGACGTGGACGTCAACACCACGCAAGAGGCCCTGATCAGCCTCGCCATCGCGGTCGGCTGGAAGCTGCTCTACACCGCCTGGCTGATGCGCCAGTGCAACGAAACCGCTGTCCCATCGACCCGTGGCAAGTCCGCCGCGGCGACCCCGGAGCCTCCGGCGCGCCTCGTCTCCTCTCCCGCCTGAGGAGGAGGCTCAGCGCGCCGCCGCGCAGTCTCAAGCGCGGCAGGGATATTTGTCGAAGCATCCGTCTATGAACACGGCTTCCGGGGCTTATACCGCGTTGCTCTCACGTACGTTTGGGATGTGGCGCTGTGCTGTGTGTGGGGGTGGTACACTAGTTGAGCGCGCAGTCCACGGTGGGGAGGGGGTCCATATTTTTTGTACAACTTGTCGAGTTGCGTTTTGGGCGCGAGATCCCGGACGGACAAGTCTCACTCCGTGTGGATCACATGGCTTGCCGCTGCCCTCGGATCGGCGACGCGCGGCGACAAGGCGTCGTGTGTGTGCATGCCTAGGTCGCTTAGGAGAGCGTTCTGTTCTAAAATTCGTGCCGAGGGTTTTGTGAGACAGAGAGAGTTTTGTTTGTAAGAAAAGAATTATATCGCCCTCAACCAGGCAGGGGGTGGTTGCGTAGTGAGAGATTGTTTTTTGTTTTGCGTTGTGTGGTTTTCTCTGACTGCGAAAAATAACGAAGGGAAAACAGAGAGGAAGAAGACCTGCTCTTAGCCTTCGATGCCAAACGCAATTTCTTTTTAGCAAGTCGGCCGCTCACCACCGACGCTGTGCATGCCTCCGATCAGAGAAAGCTCACTCCGGGCGCCCCTTCTCGGTGGCCTCTCGGTCCGCACGTCGCGCGTGTCATCGGATGCGCGGCACTCTGCCGAGCAGCGCTACTCCTCAGAGCAACAACAGGCGATCGAGAGAGCGGCGGCTGCTGCCACTGCAGCTCAGGCGGCTGCCGAGGTGGCGGCCGAGGCGGCGAGGGTCGCTCAGGAAACACTCATCTCTGCGACCGAAGCCTTGGCCCGAGACAGCTCCAGCTCCTCAGATATGGCATCTCTCGGCGAGCCCGCCTCACTCGAGTTCTTCGATCCCGATCCTGCGCCGAGGCCCGGCGCTGATGACATGGAGCTGCAGGAGCGCCGCCGCCTGAGGCACCGGTGCGCTGCTTGTGATTCGCATACCAGCCACCTGCACGGTACAGAGATGGGCTATTGGCGATGGCCCCCATTCTGCAGCCTCCCGTGCACAGCCACCTGCATGGTAAAGAGATGGGCTATTGGCAACGGGTCCCCATTCTGCAGCCTCCCAGTGCACTGACCATGGTCCCTTCGTGCAGACTCTCTGGCCCGTGGACGCTGTCACACGCAGGCTCAGCTGCGCAGGCTCGTGCGGCGCGACTATCCGTTCCACCAGTCGGGCGACAAGATCCACATGCACCGGTCCGGCTGGAAGCTGACCGAGCTGCGCCAGATCGCGATGCTCGACTGGTTCCACGTGCTGATCGAGTGGAGCCTCGGCGGCCTGCTCGCGCTGACCGTCGCCATGTACACTCTCCTCGTCCTCCTCTTCGGCCTCCTCTACATGGCGATTGACCGGCGGGGCGAGGACTGCGGCCTCGCGCCGCCCGGCCAGGACCTCTCGTGGCAGACCGCCATCGCCTTCTCCGTCGAGACCTTCTCGACGATCGGGTACGGTGTCCCCTTTGACTCCACCGCCTTCTTCGACAACTGCATGGTCCTCACCGTCGCCGTCTACAGCCAAGCGCTCACCTTCATCCTTCTCAACGCAACACTGCTCGGCATCATCTTTGCGCGCGTCGGCCGCGCCAGCACGCGAGCCGCACAGGTTCTCTTTTCGGACAAGGCAACCATCCGGTGCGTGCGCGGCCGCTTCTACTTCTCCTTCCAGGTGGGGGAGGCGTCCTTCCTCCAGTACCACCCGATCGTGGAGGCGCACGTGCGCGCGTACGCCGTCCTGCACGAGCGGGTGTGCAGCACGAGCCGCGCTTTAATCCATCGCAATACTCAATGGACGAACGAGTTGATGAACATAGGTGCAGCACGAGCCGCGTCGCACGACGCGAGATTCCGTCGCCGGCGTCACTTCTCCGAAGATCCTCTCCTCGCTCTCCCTCGCGCAATTCTTCCGCCCGTCCTCCGAGAGTACTCGCGGCCTAGCGCGGGGCCCCGTCTCTCCGAGGCGCGAGGCCGCCCTCTTCCAGACTCCTTCTCCCCAAATCTCCCCAAATCTCCCCAAATCTCCCCATGTCTCCACCTCTAGGCGCGAGGCCGCCCTCTTCCAGACTCGCGTCCTGCGGCTGACGAACCCGAACGACGAGATCGGAGGGATGCTCTTCCTCGCCACTCCACAGCTCGTCTCGCACCGGATCGACCGCTGGTCTCCCCTGTTCCCGCCCGCATGCTTCCGCGCGAGGCCGCTCGAGCCCACGCTGCCCCTCAGCCGCGTCCCGCCAGCCCCGCTCCGTCCCACCTTCCCCGGGCTGGTGATGCGCGAGGACGACGTGGACGCGGAGGACACGATTGACGCGGCGCTCCGAGACCGGCGCCAGCAGGCGGAGCTCGCAGCGCGGTGCGAGCACGCGCCCGCGGCAGCAGAGGCGCGCCACGCCGCGGCAGGCGCAGGCCTAGGCCGCGCCTCCTGTTCGCTAGTCGCTCTGGCGTGGAGAGGGGGTCCGACCTGTGGGCTTGCCGCAGGCGCGGCCGCGTCCTCGACCGCGCCTCCACCTGATCCTCTGCCTGATCCCCCGCCGCCGGATACGCCGACGCGGGGGCCGCCGCCGCCGCCGCCGCCGCCGCCGCCGCCGCTGCCGCCGCCGCCGCCTCTGCCGCCGCCTCTGCCGCCGCCACTGCCGCCGCCACTGCCCCCGCCATTTCCGCCGCGTCCCGAGACGGGTACGCCTCGGCACGGCAAGCTGATGCCGGAGCCTTCTCTCCTCGCGCTGCGCGAGCGGATTCGACAGCATTGGGAGGCCTCTTCGCACCAGCCCGTCCGCCCCCGCGTCCCACTCCACCCCGACCCGCCTCACGCCACCCCGCCCCGCCCCGCCTCACGCCACCCCCCGCCCCGCCCCGCCCCGCCCCGCCCCGCCCGCCCCATCTGGCCGGCCACCCCACAGGACAGCGAGCTCGAGGTGATCGTGTTGGTCGAGGGCATCGACCCGATGAGCTCAAACACCTTCCAGGCGCGCCTGCACCAGGCCAAGAGCCGACCACCACGATGTATTCAAATCACCAAATGCTGACGCGCCTCCAGCGCCGCTCGCTTCGTGAATCGACTCATTGAACGGCGAATGAAATCAGGCGCGCCACTCGTACATGAGCTCCGACCTCCGCTTCGACGCTGGCTTCGCCCCCACCATGTCCATCACCGACGAGGGGGTGCCGCAGGTGGACTGGGAGGAGTTCCACAAGACGGTGGATTTGCCGTTCAACACGTCCTGTTGGGTCGGGTCGTCGCATAGCTAAACAGCCGTGTGGGGCTCGTACCCGTACACGCGTACAGTTCTCTCTCTCGCGAGTATTTATAGTCGGCTGCAGTCGCACACCCGCCGTCCTCCGCACTTTGGCGTAGTGACCAAGGCAATGCATCGCACCCCAGGCCGAACCAGCGGCTCCACGCACTCGCCAACACACGGACTCGAGACACGTGCATGGGCACGTGTCTGTGTGTGCCTTGAAGCTTTTGGTTTCTCGTTGTTGTACCAGATGTCGATTGTCGTGTGTCACGTGTCTGTCTGAGGACCTTTGAGGCCCTCCCCAGTCTCACCCCACCTTACCTCTGCCCCCCCCTCCCCCCATCCCTCTGCCTCCCATAGGGCAGGATAGCACTAGCATATGCGCCTAGTGCGCACTGCGCACACTGGGCCCACATAGATGTGACCCGCCCGCTCGAGTGCGGCGTCCGGATGCTAGTGCTTGAGAAGACACCACAAACGCGGCACGGCCCGTTTTGGATGTCTGCGGAGATTCTGTCTTAGCACACACAGTGAGTCATTCGGAGTCATTCGATGGCCAGAGTGCGATTGTGTGTGTGCGGGAGTTGGTTTGTCGGGAGGGAGGGGCAGGCTGCTCACCCACGTGCACCGCACCGGGCCAGTGCTTGCACTTTGAATGCCGTGGGGCTCCTGCCCGTGTCCGGGCGTGGAGATGCGAGGGTCGCCCCCCCTTGCCCCACCACTTTGTGTGTGTGGGGAGAAATCTACCTTACCTTACCTTACCGGATAGCCCCATGTGTCCTTTTAAAAAGATTTTTGTCCTAACTAAAAGGACAGGTTCATGAAGGGCGCCACGCGCCCCCGCTCGCCGGCCCAGTCGTACCTCCCGCACTCCATACACCACAAACGCGGCACGGCCCGTTTTGGATGTCTGCGGAGATTCTGTCTTAGCACACACAGTGAGTCATTCGGAGTCATTCGATGGCCAGAGTGCGATTGTGTGTGTGCGGGAGTTGGTTTGTCGGGAGGGAGGGGCAGGCTGCTCACCCACGTGCACCGCACCGGGCCAGTGCTTGCACTTTGAATGCCGTGGGGCTCCTGCCCGTGTCCGGGCGTGGAGATGCGAGGGTCGCCCCCCCTTGCCCCACCACTTTGTGTGTGTGGGGAGAAATCTACCTTACCTTACCTTACTTACGCGTGTCTGTCGTCTCACTTATTACGGTGATTACTTTACCTTTACGCGGCGAGCAAGAAAAGACACAGCGCTGGCTGCCCCGGCAGCGCAGATACGGGATACACTTTCTGGCCGCGCACCGTACGGTACTTTAGCCGGGGAGCGGGGAGAGCGGCGGGGTTCAACACGGGGGTGTCACGCTCACGCGTCACGCGTCACGGCTCTGTAAGGTCAACCGTACGGCGCCAGACTCTCATACCTCGAGCCGCGAGCCAGGCGCCTTGGCCCCCTCCATCAGCGCTCTCTGCCGCTCCATCTCCGCCTACAAAAGCCAAGCCGTCAGCCTCAGCGCCAACCGCCAAGTCTGGAGACCCTCACGAAGGCTCAAGGTCTCGCCGGGTACTGGCTGGCGATGGCTGCGGGTGCGCCGCTCGAGATCGCCTTTCTTCGCAGCCCCTCGTCGGACCTCCAGTCCTCCACCTGGCATCGGATCGCGCCGACCCAGCGCTCGCACTCCGTGCTGCTCGTCGCGCGGAGGTGGAGCGTGATGGGACCGCACCGCACCTGACAGCCATGGGCGTTGGGCTCGAGCAGGGCAGCAGGGGCCAGAGCGCGGCCAGACCGGATGCCTGCGGGTGGCCCCCTCCCACTCCGCCCCTTCTACGTCTCTGCTGCAGATTGCACCTCAAATACGTTGTCGCTCCAGTCAACATTCGCCCCCTCCACCCGCTTGACCAAAGACACGTCACAGAGCGGCACTGCCGTGCTGGGCTCGGCCGTCGCGTCTGCAAGGCGGAGCGACAGCGTGGTACTCAGCTGCGGGCTCGTGATGCTCGCACGTGCACCTCTTGCCTCTCGGCGTTGGGATGGGCCAGCGGGGCTTACAACTAACTTTTCCCGATGGCGAGCGTTCCCCGCTTGGCGTTGAGGGTCACGTATCGCTTGGCCCACTGCTTTCCCCAGGCAGGCTTATGCTCGTGCCGCTTGTAGAGCCACCCCTCCGCCGCCGGCAAGCTCTGTCCCATGGGCGCCGTGCGAGGGGTGGCGGCGTGCGGGTCGAGGAAGCAGCCCGCCCACGTCAATCCGGTCTTGCGGCGGTTACAGAATTGCGAGCGGTGCCGTCCTTCACAAAAGAATTTTACAACAAAACTCCCTCGCACGACACTGGGCACAGGACTGGGCACAAAAGAATTCAAAAATTTTACAACAAAGCTCCCTCGCACAACACTGGGCACAAAAGAATGTTACGAACGGGCACGGGACTGGCGCGCCGTTCCTTTTATCGAGTCACGCCGCTGCTAGGCTGCGCGAGCGCGGGTGGCCCCCTCCCCGCCCTTGGCCGCCGGGTGGACCGGGCCGCGGCTTGGCGCGGCGAGCGAGGCCGACCACGGGGATGGGGGCCGGTGAGGATGGATAGCGTTCGTAGGAGACGATGGCGAAGCGCGAGAGGCCGCGCATGGTCGTGGTCGGCGGCGATGACAACTGTGGCGAGTTCGTCAGCTCGATGGAGCGGTACGACCCCTCTACGAACGCGTGGGAAGAGGAGGCGATGGCACCGATGCCGTCTGCACGAAAGTATGTCAGCATGGCGGTGCTCGATGGCAAGCTCTACGCGGCGGGCGGCGAGAGTGAGGCTGACGGCACACCTTCCAACCTGGTGGAGCGGTACGACCTGACTACCAATGCGTGGGAGGCGGTGGCGCCAACGGCGGCGGTGCGGGATTCTCACGCCGTGGCGGTGCTCGACGCCAAGCTGTGAAAGTACACGCAGAGGCGCGACTTGTCGCGCACTCCGTACGTGGTCGCCAGCGAGCCAGAGAAGGCGAGGGTCTCGCGCCGCCTTGGCCCTCGGCGGAAATTTTGAACGACTTGCCCAGCTTGGCGTCGTACCTGTGTGGGCACGGACGGTGTGCGACGAGGTGGCGAGGCCCGCGCGACCCTTGTGTGTGTGTGTGTCGTAGGGGGTTAGGGGAAGCGACCGCCCCGTTGATTCATGTGTGTCTTGCTCTACGGTCAAGTGTGTTGGCAGGTATGATTCTAGGGTGGTGCGTCTTACCCAGCTTCGAGCGGCTCGTCGCCCGTGCCAATCGCGCCGGAAAACTTGAACACAATCTTGCCCGACAGGCCGTGGCCCTTGCTCACCTCGGAGCTATCGACGTGGAAGCTGACGTCGCCAAAGGAGGACACAAGCTCGTACTCGTCCCGATTCCTCCTCTCGAGCACCTCCGCGAACTTTGCGGCGATCTTGTGGATCGAGCCGTTCAGAAGGTCCGTGAGCTTGCCCTCGGCGAGGCCCGTCACCTTATCCTTGACGAAGGCACCCTGATCCGTGATGGTGTTGACGACCTTGTCCTTGGCGTTGCTGGCCTTGTCCTTGGCGCCGTTGGCCTTGTCCTTGGCGCCGTTGGCCATGTCCTTGCCCTTGTCCTTGAATTTGTTACCGCCGGCCTTGATCTTCGAAAGGCCCCAGCCCATCGAAAGCACGTCCGTAGGCGCGTCGGAGATCTCCGGAGGTAGAGCCAACGAGTTGACGAGCAGCGCGGCGAGAAAAAAAGTCGCAACCTTCATGACGACACAAACCAATTGACACAAACACTCGTTTTGGCAACTAAGAGCCCCCAGGGAAAAATATGTTTATCCTTTGTACCGCTCGCCCGCCCGGGCCGGACCGTGAGGATAACATATTTGTTCGGCTCCCTGCGTGTGGTTATAGTCTACGGTAGCCGTACTAGTATAAGCTTGACGTGTAGTGTGTGCGTGTGTGTGTGTGTGTGTGTGCGTGTGTGTGTGTGTGTGTGTGTGTGTGTGTGTGTGTGTGTGTGTGTGTGTGTGTGTGTGTGTGTGTGTGTGTGTGTGTGTGTGTGTGTGTGTGTGTGTGTGACACCTTTTGTGTGTGATTAATTACCGGGTCGAGATCAATGATGAATTCATCCTTCGATACGGCCTCCTTTTTGGCTGCGACCTTGGCAAGCAGAGACGATGTCGGGAGAGCAGACAACGACGACGGTGCTGGAGCATTGATAAACACAGTCGCCTGCGGCTCGACCGAGTTGGCAATTTCGGTGAGTGGGACGTTTGCGATTAGGAACGAGGCAAAGATGCTGCCGAGAGCGTTGGCGCTCAGCTTGACCGTCGGAAGCCGCAATATGTGCACTGTAATTTGTGCGCGCCGACGCACACTCAGATCTCGAAGGTGCCGCAAAATCGGAGTTGATTGCTGAACTTGGTCGCGGACTCGAGATTACGCGGCCCCGAGCAGATGTCGGGGGCGCACAGCTTTGCTCTCAGCTGTCTGTGCGCTCGGTCCAGGGAGAGACCGACTGGGTCGGGGACGGGGGCGGTCGCGGAGCCGTGATCAAAACTTTTCACGGAGCAATCCAGGAGCAATCTCGTGGCGCTCGCTTCAACGCTTGCGCGATCATTTCGGGGTCGAATCATTGGGACTCAGCACCGACGACCGCCGACGGTGCGTGCGCCATCCCCGTCACACGCTCGAGCGCCATTAATTGCACTGCAACACAATTCTCTCCTCCACCAGCCAGCCGTCAGAGGGGCTTCGCACGCGAATCATCAGCTCTCCCGAAATTTTGTTGCGAAGCCGCAAGCGACAATTGTACTCATACTTTTTGCGCGTGCTGCTGATTATTATTCCCACATGGCAGAGCTGCGCGACGCGATTTCAAATGCTGAGCGCCACCCTCTCCAATCTGCCGTGCGAGCCCATCCATCTCCCAAAACGTGGTATTTTCGGCACCATCCCGGCCAATGGCTTCGTGCAGTATGCCACCACGCTCGCCGTCGACCGCGAGCGCCTCACACGATCGGAGGGCACTTTTGCACAGCAGCGGGTGACCACGTCGTCGTCGGCGGCCTCCACCACGCACTCGATTTTCGTCAATGCCTCTGCACGCTTCCAAACTGTCACGGGCTTTGGCGCCGCCTTCACCGACGCCGCGGTCCTCGGCTTCCACGCGCTGACGCCCGGAGCGCAGGCCAACCTCCTCCGCAGCTATTGGGGCGAGGGCGGCCTCCAGTACTCCCTCGGCCGCGTGCCCATTGGCGGCACCGACTTCTCCACCTCCGTGTACAGCTATGACGACAGCATCGACGACGACCTCAACCTGACACGCTTCTCGATCGACGTCGACGAGCGGTCCGGCAAGCTGCCACTCGTGCGCGCGGCGCTGGCGCGCAGCAAGAGCAGCAGCAGCAGCAGCAGCAGCAATGGCAGCCGCAATAGCAATGACGGCAGTGTGATGCGCCTCTTCGCGTCGTGCTGGGGCCCACCAGCTTGGATGACGACGCGGAACAGCACGCTCAACGCGACGCTGCGCGATCGGCCGGGCGCGCGTGAGTTGAAACCGATGTGGCGAGTCGACCGCCAGTCCGCACGATGGCACTGCGACCCCGGGGGCTGCACGGCGAGGGCAGCAGCGGCGCGCGCGAGGCGGCAGCGAAATCGGGTCCGAAGTCCGGACCCGATTTGGGGTGTGGACACCTTTCCCCCGGGTTATTTGGGAGGCGGCGGGTTCCCGCGGGCTGCCTTCCCACGAGCTACTCGTCGCCCTGAATGGTTGCCCAGGTTACTCAGGACACGATCGCGCCGTGAACACAACTAACTGACGGATCCGCTCCTGACAGTCGCACGCGCCGTGCTGTGGCGCGTGCGACTGTCTTTGTTTGAAGTCAAAAGTCGAATCAGAGCGGTGTCGGCGTTGTCCTGAGTTTTCTCCCCCGGACCGCCCGTCCGGCACCGCTCCGGGACGCATGCCGGCGAAGCACCATCAAGCTGCTGTACGGCCCCAGCATCGCCTCCCCTGGCTTAGCTAGAGTGAGAGATAGTGTGCACACGGTCTGTCTCTACAATATACTCACTGACACTCCACCTCCCAGAGCTCATCCCGGTACGCCACGGCCATCCTTGGCCTCAGGAGGGCCCCCGGCCGCGGCGCGGTGCGGCGGCGTCACAAATCCGACCACAGAGCACCGGGACGCGGTCGGGCGATCTAAGGCCCAACTAGGCGTATGCATTGCCCATCCAGGGCTATCACCTGGACCCATCAACAGGCGCCTGCGGCGCCGTGGTCACGAGGTGTTGTTCACACCTGGGCAAGCATTCATGCACCACAGTAGCCACACTTTCCTATGCCCCGCCCCGTTCCGATCGCCGCGCCTGGACTGCCGCCCGGCCTTCGGCAGCGCGCCATCGCGCTCCGACAGCGCGTCCGCGCCGAGGCGCGGGCTCGTCCGCGCGGCTCGCGCCGCGGGATGGAGCGGGTGGCCGCAGGCGCCCTCGGCCGTGCTCAATCCGACCCGCCCCTACGAGAGTGGGACGTGGAGGGTGCTCCGACACCTCCAGGGCAGCCGGGTGCGGCGCGCTCGGGTGTCCCTCCCGCGCCGGCCGACGCGCTGCACGCTCTTGTCGCGCTGCAGTGTGCCGCGGGCAACTGGAGGACGGCACGCCGCGCGCTGAAGGAGGCGGCGGCGGAGGGGATAGCGGCGAGGGAGGCGTCCTGGCGCGCCGTCCTCCACGCGTGCGCGCGGTGCGGCGCCGCATCGGCCGCCGAGGAGATCTTTCACGCGCTTCCGCGCCGCTCCGTCGCCGACTTCAACGCGATGCTCAACTTGTACGCCCGGCCGCTGGGCGCTGGTGGTGGTGGTGGTGGTGGTGGTGGTGGTGGAGCAGGATTGGGAGGCGGAGGGGGTGACGGCGGCGCCGGCGGGAGCGGCATCAGCGGCGTGGCGGGCTCGCTCTTGCTCACTCCTGAGGAGGGGGCGGAGGAGGTGGGAGTAGGTGCGGGAGAGGCGGTGGCAGCGGTGGAGGCGGTGGAGGCGGGGTCGGCGGCGGAGTCGGCGGCGGTGGAGGCGGGGTTGGCGGCGGAGTCGGCGGCGGTGTCGGCGGCGGGAGCAAAGATGGACACAGAGGCGGGCGTAGAGGCTGGCGCAGAGGCTGGCGCAGAGGCGGGCGCAGAGGCTGGCGCAGAGGCGGGCGCAGAGGCTGGCGCAGAGGCTGGCGCAGAGGCGGGCGCAGAGGCTGGCGCAGAGGCTGGCGCAGAGGCTGGCGCAGAGGCGGGCGCAGAGGCTGGCGCAGAGGCTGGCGCAGAGGCGGGCGCAGAGGCTGACGGCCGACTCAGAAGCGGCGCGGCGCTGCAGGAGTACCTGCGGCTGCTGCGGGCGGCGGAGGAGAGGCAGGGCGGCGACGAGAGGGGCGGCGACGGGAGGGGCGGCGTTGGGAGCCGCGGCGAGGGCGAGGCGGCGGCGGCGGCGGGCGGTGGAGGGGCGGCGGCGGGTAGTCGCGTCAAGGCGACGCTAGCCCGGGAGGGGTGGGGGAGGGGGGGGGGGGGCGTGCTGTGTAGAGCGCGGCCTTCACCGCCGGTGGCTGTGGCTCTCTGACTCAGGCGACGCTTTCCCGGATGGAGAGGGAGGGCGTGTGCTGGGACGGCGGCACATACGCGGCTCTGGCGACACTGCACCGCTCCGACCCGAGGCGAGGCCGAGCCGAGATCAGCCGAGATCAGCCGAGATCAGCCGAGATCAGCCGAGATGTGCCGAGATCGCGAGGCTGTGCACCGCACCGACCCGAGACGGGGAGACGCGACCTCGGCACATCTCGCCACATCTCGCCACATCTCGCCACATCTCGCCACATCTCGCCACATCTCGGCACATCTCGCCACATCTCGCCACATCTCGCCACATCTCGCCTAGGCGCGTCCTCTTCCTCCTCGAGGAGATGCGCGCTGCTGGGCTGCCTCCAAGCCTCCCCTTCCACACGGCGGCGGCGTGCGCGATGTGGAACTGCCGCCAGCTCCCCCTCGCGCGCTGGCTGGGCGAGGAGATGGCGGCGGCGCGCCTGCCTCCCGACGCGGACTTCTTCGGCAAGCAGGCGCGGCACGCGGCGAGGGCGGGCTACTACGCCGAGGCGGACGCACTGCACCGGATTGGGCGCGGCCTTGTCGCGCCGCGAATATAGTGTCCGTCTCACCTCTCTGAAACGTGTCGTGTCGTACAGTACTGTCGACGCGCGGTCTTAATGACTTACCGTCTGTGCTCTGTCGTGTGCAGATAGCGTCCCGGTGCGCCGGTGCACACGCACGCTAAGGGGGGGGAAAATAGAGCGAGCGCCCCTTACCAAGTGAAAGACAGCATGCCCCCCGCGCCCCCCCAGGGTGCCACACTCTGTCTCTTAACTCTGTCTCTCTAGACTCTACGCCGGAGGCATCTGTATCCCCGCTGGCGGCTGCGCGTGCGGAGCCGGTGGCGCGGGGCCACAGAGGAGCTCGACGAGGTACTCTCCGTACGCCTCGGCGAGCGGCTCGATAGTCTCGTCGGGCGCCTCGTCCCAATCCACGTAGTAGCCCGGGTGTATCTCGACCTCGTTGATGAAGTACGCCTCCTCGCCCGAGAGCGGCGCCTCTGCCTGCGCCGCCATCGCCGCGCGCAGCCGGCGCTCCGGCGACTCGGCGCGGCCTGCGCGCAGCTGCAGCGAGCGCTTGAGCGATCGCGGCGACGGCGGGGGCGCCTCGCGCCCTCGCGCCTCGCCCTCGCCCTCCTCGCCTCCGCTGCCGTCGCCTCCGCCCCCGCCCCCGCCTCCTTCGCCTCCGCTGCCGCCGCCGCCGCCCCTATCGCCACCGCCCTCCTCGCCTCCGCTGCCGCCGCCTCCGCCCTGCGTGCGCTGCGCTGGCCCCTGCGGCCTGCCGACGCACCAGTCGACGCGGAGGAGGATCTTTGGGTCGAGAGGCCCGTCGGGAGGGAGCGCCTATGCGTGGCTGCTAGATGGCTTCGCTGGTTGAGGAGGAGGGCTTGAGCGGCCCGGCGGGAGGGGGGGCAGTGCGTCGAGGACACGGCGCGACTCGCGCAGCAGAGGCGCAAAGTACGCAAACAGCGCCGGGTCGGAGCCTGGCCTCGCCACCCTCGCCACCACCGACTCCTTCCCGTAGACGAGGGCCGCGTAGAAGGGCTGTCGGCGCAGGAAGTAGAGCTTCACCTCGTAGTGCATCGCCACGGACGGCACCTACGAATGACTCAAGACCCGATCCAACAGGGAGTGCAGCTCGGCCTCTGCATCGCCACGGACGGCACCTACGAATGACTCAAGACTCGATCCAACAGGGAGTGCAGCTCGGCCTCTGCATCGCCACGGACGGCACCTACGAATGACTCAAGACCCGATCCAACAGGGAGTGCAGCTCGGCCTCTGCATCGCCACGGACGGCACCTACGAATGACTCAAGACTCGATCCAACAGGGAGTGCAGCTCGGCCTCTGCATCGCCACGGACGGCACCTACGAATGACTCAAGACTCGATCCAACAGCGAGTGCAGCTCGGCCTCTGCATCGCCACGGACGGCACCTACGAATGACTCAAGACTCGATCCAACAGCGAGTGCAGCTCGGCCTCTGCATCGCCACGGACGGCACCTACGAATGACTCAAGACTCGATCCAACAGCGAGTGCAGCTCGGCCTCTGCATCGCCACGGACGGCACCAGCGGCTGCAGCAGCACGTGAGGCCGCCCATCCGACAAGCCGACCGTCTCGAGGTAGCGCTGGAAAGGGTAGCGGCGCCGCCCGGCCTCTCCGCCGCCGCCCTCCCCCTCGCCCCGCCCGCGCGACGCCCGAACTGCACGGCGTGTGGGCGGGCGGCGGGCGGGCGGCGGGGCGGCCGCAGTCCCGCCGGTCAGCTGCGGCAGCTCGCACCCGCACGTGAGGACCGCGGCGAGGCGGAGGGAGGACAGCAGCGGCAGCGACGGACCCTCCTCTTCCTCCGCCACCTCCGCCACCGCCGCCTCGCCCTCCGCCGCCGCCTCGCCGCCGCCCAGCCAGAAGGCGACGCCGTACCCGCCGTCGGCGTTGGAGGGCTTGCTCACCAGCTGGAAGGGCGCGTAGCGGCGCGAGGCGAGTGAGGGGCGCCCGCCCTCCCGGGTGGAGAGCAGGCCGAGCTCGGAGAGCGAGGAGCGCAGCGCAGCCTCGAGAGCAACCGGGTCCGCCCGGCTGCCGCCCGCGCTGCCGTCAGTGGCGGAGGAGGTCGCCGGCTCGGTGAGCGCCGCCTGGCCCAGGAGGCGAGTTGGGCAGACGGGGAGGCCGGTCCGCTCGAGGAGGAGGAGGTAGTCCGCCTTGGAGGAGACGAGCTGCTTGAAGGCAGCGGAAGGGTACACCTTGGTCCCGCGTGCCTCGAGCTCGCGCAGCGCGTCAAAGAAGCGAGCGTACCACGCAAATGACGTCTGAGTGAGGTACGAGATGACGACGACGGCCTCGGCGTTGCTCCGCAGCAGCTCCTCCGGCGTTCGGGCCACGCACACCTCCAGCTCCGCGAACCGCTCACCGACGCACGCAACGATCGCTTCGTCCGACTGGCGGCCGGCCCAGCGCGAGGCGGCGGGCGGCGGCGCGGCGGCCGCCGAGGTGCGGGCGCGGCGGCGCCGCTCGGCGAGGCGCGGGTCGAGGACGACGTCGTCGTCCGCACCGATGAGGAAGATCACCTTGCGGGCCACTATGTCGGCTTCATGCATGGCGGGAATTCGTGTAATGGCTGAAAAACCCGCGTCCCAGCCGTTACTTGTAGTGAGCGTCGGGCTGGTGGTTCGACACCGAGTTTGAAAGATCTGTTTCTCTACGTCTCTCTTCACAGGAAAATCCTGTGAATAAAAGCGGAGAAAAAACAGAAACCTTTTCTGCCTCGGCCTTAGCCGTCGGTACTCCGAAAGCGTGCTATCCAAGTAACAAAAACAACAATACATTTGTCTGTCTTTTTGGATTTTTTGGTTCGTCTGGGTAAGGGTTTTGCAAGAAACCTCCTCACCACTGCGAACACTGTCTTGCTCGTAGGAGCCGTTCGTCCTTTGTCCGAGCAAACGCGCGCCCGATCACCCCGTTGAGCACGTGTGCAGGGCGTAGAGGACCGTGTGTAGCCCTCTTTAACCCGCGTCCCAGCGTAGAGGACCGTGTGTAGCCCTCTTTTTGGTATAATAGATCTATAAAAGATGCATCCGGTTTGGGTACCGGCGCGCGGCGGATAGCAGAGGTGAACGCTAAGGGTGGGTTTCGCCCCGAACACGCAGTGACACGACGCCCGTCTGCACCTTGGGCGTTTAAGTGGGCGTTTGCGCCGAGTCGAACTGCGGGCGATTCGAAACTCGCGACCCAATAGTTGTGCGACGCTGTATCAGTGGATATGCAACGGTGGCATAAGGCGACTGATATCCACACCGTCGCATGTTGTAAGGATTGACGAACGGATCTCCCTCACACCAAGATGGTCCTAGAATTGATGGTGCACGCAGCAGGGGAAGGCGGGGACACATCTCACATGTCCCTAATTGTGTAAACCCATCTCGCCTCAGAGTTTGACTGTTTTATTTCATTTAATTTTGCTCTCCCCAGCCTGCTAATCAGCCTACTTGAGAAACCGTCGCCGCGCTGCTGCGGGTGCTGGGGCTGCTAGTGCTACGCGGGGCGCTGTCTCTGCGCAGTAGTCGTTTAGGACTGAGCGCACGTGATCGTGTGCGAGCAGTGCGTGGTGTATGCTGTCGTCATACTCGTCGCATCGGCCAAACGTCCAAGAGAAGGAATCCGCCACGCGGACCTAGGCAAGGTAAGGAAAGGTGAACTTCTCAAGGTGGGTGGGGGGGCAAGGGGGGGCGATGGTTGCGGACCTTGATCGTCTCTTGGCCGCAGAGCTGCGAGAGGAGGAGCAGATTGGAGGACTGGAGCGCCGCGTTGAGCACGCTAGCAGTCTGGCCAAGCGTCGAGTTGCACACGCGTGGGCTCGTCCTCCAGTACACGATGCCGCGTGACAAGTTGGCCAGCGCGTGCGCGAGCAACGCCCCCTCCGCGCGCTGCCTGAAGTGCCAGCCGTCTCGTCGATCCGCGTCGAAGATGTCGTCCGAGCCCGCGTGCAGCAGCAGCAAGTCTGGCTGAAGCTGAGCTAGCCCGTGCCAAAGCCCGGTGGAGTAGACGCGCTGCTCCCAACCAAAGGTGATGTTTGTGTTTTGTCCGACGATGAACTCGCAGGCGGCCGCGTCGTCTTCGCGACCGAAGGTCCCTGTGCCGCAGAAGGCCTTCTCCGCATCACGCACGACTCGCGGACTAGGAAGCTTCGCAATGGGAGACATTGCGCTGTTGCCGCTGAGCAGCATAGCCATTGCAAAAGCGAGGTGTCGTGCAACGGAGTTCCCACCGACAAAGACGCGCTTGTTGCGGAGACATTCGCGGTAGTTGCGGAGATCGTCAGACGGCTGCACGAAGATGCACGCGCCGGGGTTGGCGTCGAACGGCCTCATACCCTTGAGCGTCCGGGCTCTCATCGGGTGTCGAGGAGGGCGGAGTAGCGGACTCTAGGCAACTTTTTACTCCCGCGCCGGGTTCTGTCGGATTGGTATCCGCTTGAAAAAACGAGCGCCGTAGTCTGCGAGTTTCCTTGCACATGTCGACATTGCGTATGTGCGGATGTATATTGTTGGCAAATCAAGACACAGAGCTCACACAGAATCACAGCGGGAGGAAAGCGGCGAGTCGCAATTCCAGGGGTCGTTGTGGCGGGCCACCCTGTCCAGAGAGGCATGGATGCCAATCTGGGGTCTCTCGACCGAGTCTATGAGCCCTGGCCGCCTCCCGATCTTGGTGGTAAGGCCGCAGCCGAAGAGGGCGACGGAGATGGCGCGGGAGAGTACGGGTGTTCCAGGGGATCACGACACGCACCGACCCTTCACGAGCCGAAAGGCTGCACCCGGGGAAGGCACAGTAATCCGGGCACGTGTTGGGCGCCCCATTCCGTTTAGGGCTAGGTCGGCTCAGGGCCCCGTCCACCTCCCTCCCACTTGGCGCGTGATAATGGGGAGATGCCACCCAGGCCAGCCAGGGCAGGGGCGGAGAGCGAGGGCGGAGGGCGGGATGGGCGCCAAGCGGGAGGGAGCGGACGGAGTGGAACGCACAGATGGGGGATGGCCGATGCGCAACCAGGCTGTGCGCTCTGCCTCACCTGCGAGGAGGCCGATCGCCTCTCGGCGGCGAGGAGGCAGGCTACGAGCAGATCCGCCCCCCCAAGCCCGATCCGACTGACTTCAAGCTGACCTTCGACCTCAACACTGAGGAGCACCGGGCGTGGAAGGCAGCCGTCGGCACCATCTAGGTGGTCGTAGTAAGGCGAGAGAGCACGGTGCCAAAGGCGCGCGGCGAGAGAGGGGGGCGGGGCGCCCCGCCGCAGCGGCGGGTTGGGGCGCTATCTGGCGCTATCTGGCGCTATCTGGCGCTATCTGGCTATCTCATTCTATCTCATTCTATTTCGTGTCGATCTGACAAAAGAACCGGCCAGACTAGGGCTAACCCCGAGAAACCCTTCGGTCACTCCTCATCGCAAACCCCTGTCAGCAGTCCTCCTCCTCATTGAAAGTAGCAACCGGGTCGCGCTACACGCTCTCCGAATGGGATTTTCTGCCCTGCCCCTGTCGCAGCCCCGGCTGCCTCCCGGAGGCCCGCCCGGCCATGCAATCCGCCGCCGGACCGCCCGGCGGGTCCAACCCGAAGCGGGCGACCGGCCGTTCGCACCGCTCGGCCGACGGGGCGAGCCCCGCGGCCCTCGATCGCTCGCCCCGGGACGTGGCCCGACCGGCCCACGCGCACGGCCTGGCCTCTACCGCCACTTTCGGCGGCGCAGTTTGCGCCTTCATCGCTCTCTGGATCGTCCTGGCACCCATCGGACTCCTCCCGACGGTCGGCGGCGCCCACTCCGTGCACTTTGAGTCAGACTCGCTCTTCGGCAGGCACGCTCTTCGGCAAAAAGTCGCCGCCGGCTGTCCACGCCGAGCCAGCCAGTTGCCGGCTCGCATGGCAGCCTCTTTCTCTCGACCAGCCTCAACTTCGACACGGTCATCATTTTGTCGCTGCGTGCTCGTTGCGAGCCGGGCGGCGGTCAAAGTTTGCCCAGACGAGCGCCAGGCGATAGTACCGCCTCTGTTCGCCCTGTGCATGTCAGGCCAGGCTGCAGCGGGGCACGACCATCGTGCTGCCCTGTTGCAGCCTGACGTTTCCCACTGTGCACAGCCGCCAGAGCACCACCACCGCCCGGCATCGTGTCACGGCGAGCTTTTTCTGCACCCGTTCGCGAGGCTCTCGCGCTGGCACACTTCGGCCTTCCGCTGCTCGCGTTCGGCGAGCTCTTCTCCGCACTCCTGCCACGGTGCCGTCGCCACACACCTTCTGGCCGGCCTGAGCCACGCGGACTCGACCTCTCTCCCTCTCTGGTGCACGCCACGGGCCGCGACGGCTGCTGGCAGCCAGCCGGCGTGAGGAGGCAGCGTTGCCGGCACAGTCGAGCTGGAGTATCCGCTTCTTGATGCTTCTGCGGTCAAGCTTGACCTTATGTGACATGATATGCCACAATACTGTATGCTCTCACCCCTCAAAGTGTCGAATTTTTGTTTAGTACTGGTGACCCGACACCGGTGGCCCGATAGGCGATAGTACCGTGTGCCTTTCTTCAAACGAACGCACTTCGAGGTTCGACAATCGCTAAGATGCTTATGGGGCACCGCTGCGACTCCCTTGGAGATGCCTGAGGCCACCCCAACCAGTCCCCAAGGCCAAGCCTTACGTGGACGAATTCAACCCTACTTTTTGTTCGTCTACCCACATTAGCAACTTCGTGCTCATGTCAACGCCACGCCAGCGCCAGCCCATTCAACCCCGCCCCCATTGGGGGCGGGGCCCTTCAAGGGCTTAACTCTAGCTATGCTCTCACCCCTCAAAGTGTCGAATTTTCGTTTCCCGGTGACCCGACACCCGTGGCCCGATAGGCGATAGTACCGTGTGCCTTTCTTCAAACGAACGCGCTTCGAGGTTCGACAATCGCTAAAAGCTGCTTTTGGGGCACCGCTGCGACTCCCTTGGGGATGCCTGCGGCCACCCCAAGCACTCCCCAAGCCTTACGTGGACGAATTCAACCCTACTTTTTGTTCGTCTACGCACATTAGCAACTTTGTGCTCATGTCAACGCCACGCCAGCGCTACAGGCTAGCCTGTAGCCCATTCAACCCCGCCCCCATTGGGGGCGGGGCCCGCCAAGGGCTTCATCTAGTCGTCGGTAAAGGATGTCACGCTGTCGGATGCGTCCTTGACCAGTTGGTCAGGGTGCGCGGCTCTCTGCCCACGTGAATTGCTTGAGCACTTCGCTCCTCTCTGGTCCGCCTCCCCGGCACGCCACCAGCCCGCCCGTGCCGCGCAGCCTGCGTCGCACCGCGCACCCAACACGCTCTGCTTTACGGTCACCGGGTCGTCCTCACGCCGCACGTGACCACTCGCCGACCGCCACCTCGCCCCGCTCGCTCACCTATTCTCACCAAACCGCCATGCCCACGCCGCAGCGGCTCATCGTGCCTTTACCGCTCGCCCACTTGACCGCTGCGACGGTGTAGGTCCGCGAGAGCCCAAGCCTCCCTGCTACAGGCCCGCTCGCCCACGTGCTATGACTCCCAAACATCCATTGGCGCAGGAATGCATCGCATATCCTTGGCTGTCGCTCTGGGCGCTCTACTGTCCCACGGGAGCTGCTCGTACTGCAGCGGCCTTTACGAGCCTTTCCCATGTGGCGTGATGGTGCCAGGCGACACCCTCAGTCGTGGCCAGTGCATCGCTAACGGCGACGACACACTCGTCCTCCAGGCGGATGGCAACCTTGTCCACTACACTGGGAAGCTCACCGTGTCGGGGGATGCGGTCAGCGGCAATGCCGAATCCGCCACCGGCACAACTGAGGGCTTTGAACTCAGATTCCAGACTGATGGAAACCTCGTCCTGTACTCCAAAGGTCCATCGATTGGGCCTACTCTAAAGGCGGACCGAGCATGTAATGGTGACTCGCTTTTGCCAGAATCGTTCGCTTTGTTCCTCGCGATTGACTCGCCGAGCTACGGTCTGCCCTGCACCGGTGGGGGGGTGTCGACCTGCTCGCCTCCGCCGCCGCCACCGCCGCCGCCCTCGCCCTCGCCCTCGCCGCCGCCTCCGCCGCCGCCGCCGCCGCCGTCGCCGCCTCCATCGCCGCCGCCGCCGTCGCCACCACCTCTGCCACCGCCGCTGCCGCCTCCGCCCTCTCCGCCACCCTCGCCGCCACCCCCTTCTCCGCCACCCTCGCCTCCTCCCTCGCCGCCCCCGCCCTCGCCTCCCCCCTCGGCCCCATCGCCACCCTCGCCACCGCCCTCGCCGCCACCGCCTTCTCCGCCGCCTCCGTCGCCGCCGCCGCCCTCGCCACCACCATCGCCGCCGCCGCCGTCTCCGCCGCCACCCTCGCCGCCGCCGCCCTCGCCGCCCCCCTCGCCGCCGCCCTCGTCGCCGCCGCCCTCGCCGCCCCCATCGCCGCCGCCGCCGTCGCCACCGCCACCCTCCCCGCCGCCGCCATCGCCACCACCTCCATCACCGCCCCCACCGTCGCCACCTCCCTCGCCACCACCGCCGTCATCAATGCCACCATTGCCGGCGCCGCCCTCG